CCCGCGGCCCCCCACGCGCCGAACGCCTCAGGATACCCAACTTTCTCTAGTCAAATGTCAGCCGCTGCGGTCTCCAGCTCCCGCGGCTTTAGCTGCTGGGCTGCTGGAGCTATGGTGTTGGTCGGGTGTTTGGTGGGTGATAGTTGAGGTGGCGGTAGTGGTACAGGGGAGAGAGGGGAGGAGGGGGTTGCCACGCTACCACACGCACACAAACCATCGGGGAAAGGAAAAAAAAATCCAAGGCGATGGGTGAAGGAGGGCGGCCTTGCCGAGCTTGGCCTTGCGCGGACGCGCCACACCCCGGAGCCGCTGGAGCCTGGCTGCAGACCCTCTGCCGCTAAACCAGTCCGGCGAGCGACAAGTCGGAGTCAGACAAAAAGACATTAACGGGCTGTGCGCTGCGCGCGCTCCCCACGCGGACATTTCAGCAATCGTTTGCAGGGTTGTTCTCATGCCTTACTTGGTGCGCTGACGGTTTAGAATTATCTTCCGTACTTGATTTCCACTTTCCTCAAAACGCGACTCCGTGCGCTCAAACAACCGGTTCAAAGTAACTGAAAGTTTGGATGACGCAGGCGACAGACGACGCAGGGTAGTGCCTGACGTCGTTGATAAGCCTTTCAATGGCCACGTTGAATACCCTTTAGAAATGGAGATCCTAGTCATTATTGTAAAACTCACCGTCGTACTTACAATTTACTTCAAAACTGTAATTTATCACCCACCCTACAATCTAAAGTTAAAAATATGGTCAGCTTTAAATTGCGTCAACGATTGACAATTGTAAACTTTTCTTAAATTGGAGTATTTGTTGTTGTTTTGCTGTGTGTGAGAGATGCAGCGAGGCAGAGTGAAAGGCCGCGAGCAGTTGTGGCTGCCGCCCCACTCTCTAGAAGAGTGTGATAAAAATCTTGGTGGCTGGAGTTGGCGATCCCAACATCTCCAGCCTGCCAGCCCCCGGAGGCTTGGCTGTGCCCGTACCTTGCATGACATTCTGCCGCTAGAAAGGCACGTCCGTTAGGGCCCCCTTTTCTGCCACTAATACATTTGAGCAGAGAGTTGGCTCGTCTGAAGGCCAGGACGCCTGTCGTACGCCGAGTAGGCATGCCCGCGCGGTACACCAGTACGGCGGGGTGGCCTACCTGCAGACCCGCAGGGGCTCCTTCCTACCGATGAGAGGGGAAAAGGTGGAACGAAAACGGTTTGCAGAGTAATTAAAATATAATATATTTTTGTCTGTAAAAACAATGGGCTATATGCACATAGTACGGATGTTCTAAAACAAAAATAACAAAAAAAATCGTGAATACTTTGTAACAGTCATAAATGAGAACATTCAATTTCAAATTGTCTTTAAGTATCAATAAGTTGGTTTCCGCCTCAACCCTAGGTACGTCTCACACACATATGTATACATACATACACACATATCCATACACACACACACACACACACACACACATGGTAACTACAAATTATTATGTTTGATTCTATAAAATTGAAGTACTTGCTTAGACGGCAATAACAATGATTTCATTTTCATTAAGGCAGTCAATACATGGGTTTGACAAGTATAAAAGACATTTATAACAAAAGTAACTATGTGTCAAGTGACATGTTCCTGGTAAATGCCTAGCACATGAGAAGCTGCGCTGAGGTGTGGCATTCAGAAGAAAGGGTATGTTCCGTACACATGGAACAATTTTGAGTTGATTGAGATACATAACTCTTTAGTAATGAAAATGTTACACTTGTAATAAATGCCTAAAATATTCCCCAAGTAAATATTATACTAAACACTCAAAATTTCTACTGAGTACTGCACCACAAATTAACAGAATATTTTAACTTAGAATAGACTAAATTTAGAATATTGTAATATTTTTAAATCTTTTCTCCAATAAAGACTTTCAGTTTTCACAGAAAATATGGAAGCTTTCAGGAAGAATTTGTGATACTTTCATTTAAATTAATGACAGTGCTTGGCAATAAAACAAACTACAAAGATATCACAATATTCTAAATGTCAAAACCAACACTGACAGATATAAATTCATAGACACAACCTGAAACATGCAAATCATGGTGTTTCACTTAACGGCAAATTCAAATACTTAATTGATTTCCAGTGTAAAACTAAATTATGAATCTACAAATCCTGGCCAGCCAGAGAAAAGGTAGATACAAATTCAAGGAGATGCATACATTCTTTTTAAGAAGAAAGAAAAACCATCAACAAAATCAAACTGTCTCCAGTCAAATACAAAACTTATAAGCTCCAAGTGATGTGAAATTTCTACTTGTTATTTTCTTAACCATTGGGAAGGAGGGATAGACACAAAATTTAAAAAAATGTTTGAAGCAAAACCAAAAAATAAAAATTGGCTGTTATTGGCCGGCACAGCCAGCCTAGAAGCCAGCCTGACCTATCACAATTGATTTCAAATAATATCACCACTTACTATTGATTTAAAACACTCATTATAATTCAGTAACCCAGTCGTTATTCCCATAAGTCACGAGCACATCTACTGGACAACTGATGGATGGATTTTAGGAACACTTTGCAGGCCAAGTTCCCCATCTCATGGACACTACCAAAACATTCCTTCAAAGGGCAAATGAGCTATTATAGATAGAAAAATAGGAATCACAGACAAGCCTTACCAAACATAGGCTAAAATTTATAGACAGATACTTTATTCTTTATTTTGTTGAACCCTGATTTAAAATTTGCCCATTTGAAAGGCTTTAATATAATAATGGTCACATGTAGTAGAATCATTGGTCTACTTGAAATCTGAGGCACTGGCCACAGCTCACTGTCACTGTTAGTCAGAACAATAATGTGACACTCATGTCAGTCAAATTGAAAGAAAATTGGCAGTAGCGCTTCCAATATATTACAACCCAGGGTAATAAAAATTTGGAAAAGTCCCACACATTATGTATATTTTAGTGAACACCATTTGATATCCCATTGGACACACCATTGACTCTATTCACAGTTCCACACGCCACCCCATTGGCTTTTCCATTTACAACCAGTTCCTCACCAGGCGCCAGAAGAACATGAGGTGAAGTGAAAGTCTTCCCTTTAACCAAGTCTTCAAGCCCCTCACCACCATAGGACAGAAGAGGTGAGATCTCACAAACAGTAGACCCATCAGGCCCGGGTAAGATTTTACCACCCGCTTTTTCCACATAGCTAATGTGGAGATTGATAATATCTTGCCTAGCTGTGCGTGGGCAATCCTTTTCAGCAGAATCAGCATTTTTAACGGGACTGAATTCTTCATTGCGCAACACTTCCCAGACAACAAGACTATCAGTAAACGGAAAAACATCAAAAACAAATTTTTCCATTTTTATGCCATTTGGTTTATCTGGCTTAACCTGAACTCCATTCTCGTCCACATAAGGAATCTTTTTCTTTGCTATATGAAGAGGAAGAGACTTCTCATGGTCATTCAAAAAACCTCTCAGAAATTGCGAGGAAAAGTAGTGGTTACAAATGCTACCTGCACTGAAAGTAAGCTCTCCATCTTCATTACGGCGTTCTGCAGTGGCTTGAGTGATTTCATTGTACTCCACAACTTGGTATTTTCCATCGACACTACAGACAACCCCAACAGCTTCTGTTGGATAGGCCTTGGGAACAACCTTAACACCACATTGTGCGCCTTTGAGGCTGCAATATCCTATGAAAATAGGATCAGCTACTTGAACAAGAATATTGTCCACACTGTGTGCATGTAAACAGCAGATACCACGCTGCTCAATGTCATCCAACATGCCACAGTCCCTCAGAGCACGGTATATACCACCATTACCATCAGGAGCCTTTGACAAACGGCTTGGAGAATCCAGAATGATGTTGCCATCCATAGAAAAGCATGGCAGCATTCCCTGTTCAAACAGCTTGACATTGGCGCTGTTCAGCCCAAAGTACTTGTGCTTGCGCATGAAAGCAAGAGTGGGCTCCATTGTCTGTCCACTTGTCATGATGTACCAGGTTACACACCCCTTCTTCCCTGTAGCTTCCTGGGCCAGCTGCTCCACCCTCCTGATGCGCTCAGCCTGAATCTGGAAGAGTGGCTTGTGTGAGGGCAGCCCAATGTCGTACATACCCTTGGGGAAGTCCACCCCGAGGCGCGTGCCCTGTCCGCCTGCCATCAGCAGCACCCCGACCTTCCCCGAGGCAATGAGCCCCAACCCCTCGGCCCGGTACGTCTCAAGCTCCTGCGGGGAGCTGCGCTGCAGAGACCCGGACAGCTCCGGCGGAATGGGCTGCATCCTGTCGTCCAACTTCTGCTGCTGTTCCTCGAGCGTCCGCACCGTCCGCGCGAAGTACGCGCATACCTCCTCCACGTCCACGCTCTGGATGTCGCGCAACAGCTCCTCCCGGCGGGTGTCGTCCAGCTGGGGCCAAAAGCGCAGCAGATGCTCCTGCCCGTGCTTGGTTAGGGAGTTCCTGAGGTTTTCGTACTGGTGCTCCATGTCGGCGGCGCGGGGTTGCACGTCGTGAAGCTCGCGGCTACGGCCAGGACGGCAGCGAGCAGCTCGCGCGAGGCATACGGTGCGGCCCGGAGCGGACCCGCGAACGGAGTGCCGCGCGCAGCGAACTGTTGACGTTTAAACACGCGTTTGACAGAAGCAGACATAGCAGCAGCAATAACAACAAAAAACAACGACAACAGCAGGCGAGAAAACAAAACACGAGCGCAGCTGACGTGACGAGCACCGGGTAGTTTTGGCCTTTACAGAAAGGCCGTGTTTTGAACTCGTAATTATTTTTCCTTCTTTAAAATTTGTTTTCGTTTATAAGTTTTTGAAATCACAATGAATGAAAAGGTAGACAAAAAAGAGACATTTTAAAATACTAGATTACACCTCAGATCATAGTCAAACGAAAGGACTGAGAATTTTTTTTTCTATATAGTTGGCACAAGTGCTCATACGTCACACACACTAGTCACACATTCGTCTAAACATCTAACCTAGTTAAATGTATCAGCTGAGAAGCCGAAAATAACAGGGAAAACATGAAACTCTGCTGTAGATTTCAAATATTGCTTTTCAATTTATGTTTTTTGTTTTTAAGTATTCTTTTTGATGGTTCGCATGGTCAAGATATCATAGGATGTGGTGGTTTTGTCAAGAGTGATATAGACATATCCAAGGCCCAAGTACAAGTTAAGCTGTAAGTACCTTAATTTTACCGATTCTCGTGCCGGATTTTCTATATTTGTTAACCCTTAGGAAATTGTAACGACTCGTCTAACATCATTATATGCGTTTACCGTCAGTTGATTTACAATACAATGTCCATAGCAGAAGCTGTGCTGATGATGGTGCTCTGTGTCCAGCAGACGACACCTTCCTCAATCAATTAAAAAAATATGTGTACATTCTCCTTTAAAGATGAACTATTTAAATTATTTGTATTTTTTTGAAACCCTCTTTTGTAAGGCCCCTTGTTGCCTCATATCTGTAGAGATGTCCTTTTTGTAAAAAAATGGAAATTTATAGATCTCATTTCTTTTGACTTACAGGTACACTAAGCAGGGTAGCCTAAAGGACCAAACAGAATGTGCTCCTAAAAATGGATATTATTTTTTACCTGTGTATGACAAAGGCAGTTATATTCTGAGGGTAAGATTACTGGGAACAGCTTTAAATGATTGTTCAAACAATTCAAATAACAATGCACCTTCGCACATGTATCTGAGCTGTTTGTCATGCTGCTCTGTTTCTTTTCACAGATAGAGCCACCAAAGGGATGGACATTTCACCCAAAGGAAGTGCCCTTAACTTTTGATGGACGGACAGATCCATGCAGCCAGAACAAGGATATAAACTTTGAGTTCAAAGGGTTTACAGTGTTTGGGAAGGTAAATTGTCACTCAACAGATTTTGCTTGAGTTAGTGTGAAAATTTGGATACAATCTTTGCTTGTTTTAGGTTTTAAGTGCTGGTAGTACAGCTGGCCCTGAGGGTATAACCGTTCATCTTTTAAAAGATAAGAAGGAGATTGCTCAAACAGTAACAATATCAAATGGGGATTTTGAATTCCCTTCAGTTACAACTGGGATTTATAATTTGAAGATATCACATCCCAAGTAAGTCCTGCTCTGAAATAATTTAGAGTTTACTTCCTGATACACCACTACACATCTTTGTGGTGTTTTACAGGTGGCACGTCAGCAACGCTGAAACTACTGTCTCTGTTGCTGGAGGTAATGGGATTGTGAAACCGGGAAGTCTGGTTGTATCTGGATATGATGTATCAGGAAAAGTTCTGAGTGACGGAGAGGCTGTGCAAGGAGTAAATCTAATTTTGTTCCAGCGTGCTGTTGTGGAGGTTTGTTCATCATGTATATCTATGCAGCTCTGGTCATTTACACATATCAACACTCTTGATGTTTTGTTTGAATAATATCCAATGTTTCAGGGATCTTCTACTCCAGTTATTCCAGGCTGCAACAAACAAACCCTACAGGGATACAAATCTCCTTCTGAGAAGGGGATACGGCTTCTTTGCCACACACAGTCAGATGCCAATGGATTGTTTGGCTTTACCAGCCTGCCTCCTGGGTCGTACCGGGTGGAACCATTCTACCAAGGACCACAGAACTTGAAATTTGACTTGTACCCTAAGTCCCAAGATTTTGTTGTCTCACATGGGAGTGTTGTTCTTCCTGTAGAATTTCAAGTATGAATTCATCAAGATTTCTCAAATAATTTCTGCCTATACTGTCTCTTAACAAATAACGTAATTTTTCACAGATTAAAGGCTTTACTGTGAGTGGTCGTGTGCTCTACACTCCTAATGGGCTGGGTGTACCTCATGCCTATGTTCTGGTCAACAACCAGATCAAAACAGAGACAGATAAGAATGGCTTCTTTAGTTTGAATAGCATGCAAAGTGGAACTTATTCAGTTGAAGCTGCTTCTGGTGTGTCTCAGAC